AAATCGTATTAGCAAATTCTTCTTGATCAATTACTTTTGACTTTTTAAATTGTTGAACTGGTTTAACATTGTTAATAATATTACTCATATTACTACTACTGCCACTACCACTGTTATTATTGATACTAGTTGGTTTAATGAGTATTTTTAGATTTGTTATTATGCTCTTGTGATGGCTGAACTTTCTAATCATTTGCTTACTAAAAATATCCCAAACTATTATTTCTCCATCTTCTGATCCTGATATTAATATATTATCATTGAATAATGGCATTTCTATTGATGTAATTTGTGAACTAGAAAATTTTAAATTTTTAACAAATAATATTAATGCCATTATTTTTTTATTTTTTATTGCTATGACTTACTTGTGACCACTAAATATTAATGATTTGCTAGTATCAATATCTTCAATTTTTTTATTTCCACCAACTGATCTTATTATCCCACCACCATTACTACTATTACCGATATTTTTATACAAATTAACCTGATAAATCAATTTATTATTACATCCACAAAAAAACATTCTTTCTATTTTGTCAAATTCGATGCAATTGATTATGCTTGGAAATATAAATGTTGTTAATAAATATCCAGTTGATAAATCCCATATCTAAAATAATAGAGGTGTATTATAAATATATTATAGAAATATCATTAAATAAATATTTTATTATTTTATCATTACTTTGCAAGTATTGTCCATTGAAGATGTTAATATTCTACAAGTATTAAAATTACCAACACCACATATAATATCAGTTATTGGCAATGAATGATCTGACCAAGAATAATAAGGGATTAATAAATCATTATTATTATTGTCATCATCATCAGTGTCTAAAATGCTTTGCGCGAAAAGTGAATAATTAAAATAAATCATCATCATTATTATTAAATTATAAATAATAATATTATAGGCTTTTTATAATTTACCTGCCAAATAACCAAACATTAACACTTGAATCATCGCTTCCAGTTATCAATGCAATATCATCATTAGTGAATCTCATTACATTGATTTTCTTATAATGCGCATCAAATACTTTACACAATGTGCCAGTTGATAGCTAAAAAAAGCAATAATTTTTTTTTAAATCAATCCATTGATCAATGAGAAGTGAATTAGTTGGTAATAATACGATAAGAATGAAGAGTTTTTACCTCCCAAATGTATATTTTCCCGTTATCAGTACCACCAGCACAATAAGTACCTTTATTAGAAACACTTAAACTTACTAATTTCTCCGGGCAAAATAATTTATTATGTATTTGTTCCTATTCGCCATCAAATTAGAATGTTTATAATATAATTTATAATTAATTAATTAATAGACCAATTTCTCTCACACATACCTTAAATAAAGAATAAACATGTATCAATGCTTTATCATTCTGAGCTGATAATATCAAACCAATTCTATTTGGTTGTCCCGTCAATGAAACCAGACTTAAACAATTTCTCTCACATTTGTTCTGTTTAAATGTTGATATAATGTTTCCATTACGAAAATCTATAATGTTTGTAGCTGAATCTTCTAAAGATGTCGACAACAATACTTCTTCATTCAACATTTTTTTTGATTATTTTTTCAAATTTGATCTATTTTGATCTATACAATGATTGGTTGATTGGTTAATTTCGAACGAAGATCTTGCCATAAATATATTTTTGGTCCCATCTTTTGATAGAGTCTTTGATTCTTCTTTTGATCAGCCAAAATTCTCAACTTCAGTCTTTTGTACTTTTTAATTTTGATGGATCATCAGTTATATTGCTAATTTTATGTTCTTTGAAATCATAAGACAAATCAATCATGCAACGTTAAATGTCATCATTCTGAAATTTGCTGAAATTCAACACATGTATCAATTGTATTAATAAATAAATTAATCTACTTGCAGTTCTTGCAGCATAATATTTTGCGCGCCAATGGGAAATGGCTATTTGACAATTTTTTTGCGTAACCACAAGAATTGAGCACGCGGTTGTGATAATGTTAACAGAATTGATGGTGTGCAAATTTTGAAAATAACGACTTTTTATCAATGTTTGAGTATGCATTAAAGTTCGGATTATAATCTAGAATTTGTTTTCTATAAACAAATTGAATTTATGAATGAACAAATAAATATATTGATGTATGAATGAACAATTAACCAATGTATGAATTAGATTAATGATGTATGGAATGAATAAATACCTTTTTTTTTATCTTTGGAAATAATTGAGCAGATCAAATTGGATTCTATCTTGCAGTTTATTTAAACCATCACATTTTCGAAACCATTTCTATCATGATATAAAAGTTCAAATTAACTATATGGTGGAGAAAAATTAAAATGGCTTTTTTCTCATTGATTCTTGATGTGTAATGAATGATAAATATTCGACATAATTACTATTTGTTTAAATAACCCGAATTCACATATTAATCGTAGAGTCTCAGCTATATTTTCATTTATATAGTCATCATGGTTTTCATAAAGTATTTCATTGCATGCTTGTAAAAAATGATTCTGAAATATTTGGTTATGCATTCTCGAAAATGAACAACGAGCCAATGAAATAATGTCAATCATTAAAATGTTCGTCATTATTATTATTTTTTAAAAAAAAATCTTCTAATGGGAATTGAGACCGTGTTGAATAATATATCAATCAATTCATTGTCATTTAATTCGTGGTTCGCCAGATACTTGATTTCCGGGGGAAATTTACTAATAAATTTTTTCACAATTGTATAATGCACAAGTAAAACCTTTTATAGACTTTATCCTAAATTGGTAAAAATTACAAATATTCATAATGTAACAAACTTTTGTTATTTGTTTTTGCTTTTATCTTTGGGCAGCGCTTCATTATTTATTATAAGTAATCATTGACGGATCACGAATTAAATATTGAACTTGGGTGACACTGCATCTTTATTATAAATAATATATAATAAAATGTAACATTTTGATTTTTTTGATTTTCAAAATATATATATATCTCTTCACTTTACAAATAAAAAGAAGCAATAATGTTTAAAAACATTTACTTAAAATACTTGATAATATTTTTAGTGACTATAATTAGTATACACTTGATTCTTTCTTATTTTGACAAAAGTTTAGATTTTACAATACCCTGGAGATCCAACGACGACAACAATTATAGTGATATTGTAAAAGATCAACCAATTTCATATAAAGATGTTGTTAAATCAAAAACTACCACCATTACTAAAACTTCAATGTTAGTTGAAACAGTGACTTTAGACGTTGAAAATCCACAAACTACCATTATTACTACTACACAACAACCAAAAGAACAACCTATAATTCGTAAAGCAAATGCTGTTTTTCTTGTTTATTTAGGACATGAAAATACTAAAAGAATGGGAACTACATTGGCACAGCTTGAAAATAGATTTAATCATAAATATCAATATCCTTATGTATTTTTAAGTGACAAGGAGATATCAGATGATTTTAAAAATTATATAAGTGGACTAACTAAAGCAAAGTGTGAATATGGTTTGTGATTTGAATATTTATACTTGAGCGATTATATTTAGTATAATAGTATTATTGGTTGATCAATGATTTTATTGATATTATTAGGAACAATTCCTAAGGAACAGTGGGGAACACCATCCAATATTGATTTGGAATTGTTTGATGAAAAAATGAAAGAGTTGGAAGGAAAGGATGTATTATTAGGTGGAAGTTTGACATATCGATACTCGAACAGGTTATTAATTATAGATGAGGTTTTTTTTATTAGGAAAATTCGGCAGGAATTCTAATGATACTAATAATTATTTTATTTTTGTTTCTACAGATTTTTATCTGGATTCTTTCAAAATCACGACTTATTAAAAAAGTACGATTACTATTGGCGTGTTGAAGCTGGTGCTAGTTACTATTGTGATTTAGATTATGATCCATTTTTATATTTGCAAGATAATGATATAAAATATGGCAAGTAATTAAGAAGGAGGAGAAGAAGAAGAAGTTATTACTTAACCAGTTGATTAATTTTAATTAATTTATTGTAAATTTTTAGGATTTACCATTTCTTTGTATGAATATAAAGAAACAGTTCCAACGCTTTGGAATAGCGTGAAAGAATTCATGACCTTACATCCTGAATATGTTAAAGACGATAATTGGATGGAATTTTTTTCAAATGATAATGGTGAAACTTATAATTTGTATGCAACAAAAAATCAATTTATCTTAAAACTGTTGGCGAGATAAAAATGTTTTATTTAATATTTATTTTAATATTTTAAAGATGCCATTTCTGGTCAAATTTTGAAATAGTTGATCTAAAACTATTCAGAAGTGAAGCATACACCAAATTCTTTGAATTTCTTGATGAAAAAGGTGGATTTTTTTATGAGAGGTTAGTCATTATGCAATCAACGCTAATAGTAATAATATTGATATTACTTATTAAATATATATATATGTGGACACTTTATAGATGGTCAGAAGCACCAATTCATTCATTGGCAGCAGCTTTATTTTTAAATAAAAATCAAATACATTTCTTTAATGATATCGGTTATAAGCAAGAACCATTTACCCATTGTCCAACTGAACGAGGATTACTTGCTAAATGTAGTTGTGATCCTTACGATTCTTTTGGTAAGCAAATAAATTGTTTTTTTTTTCGGAGAAATTCTAACGAATGAATGGGTTAGTGAATGAAATGAATGATTATTAATAAAGCTTTTCTACTAAAAAAATAAAATAGATTTCCATAGTTATAGTTGCGCTCCAAGGTATGTGCATGATTTAATTTTTCAATTAAATGAATTTTTTGATTCTCTTCCATAACAATAATAAAATTATTATGATTATATAGGTGGCTTGAATTAATTAATAAATATGATATTAAGTATCCACCAAAATAGAATGAAACAATATTATCAATACTATAGACTCCTTTATAGATAGACAAATATATTTGTTTTTATTTTTTAATTTAATTCAAAAAAAAAAAATAAATATCTATTAATTATTGTATTATTATTATTATTATTGGTATTATTTATTTTGACGAATTTGGTGAATCAGTTGACATAGTCATATATTTATAAATTACATAAATTGTAACGGCTAAAAATGGTAACAAATAACTGGCATAACTACAAAAACATTGAGCAAAAGGAAATTAGAATTAGTTTTTTTTGAAAAAAATTAAATTTAAATACTAATTTTGTTGGATTATTTTCAAACCTTGTTGGTTCTAATTTGGGTGCATTTGGATAAGATGGAGTTGTTTTTGGAGTTGATGGTGGTGGTTGACCCTTTTTAAATGTTTTTAGAAATGTTAATATCAGAATATTAATAAATGTATTAATTTTTACATTGTTAAATCAATCACAGCAAGTAATTATAATTATTACTTACATTTAATACGCCAATTTCAAACCCTTTTAAAAGTTCTCGAGCTTCATCCGAATGACCAACATCTTCAAAAGCTTCAGTTGCATCTTTACCTCCTTCATCAAGTAAGACTTCTTCTCCACCTGGATGCTAATAACAATTACAAATATTTTAACATGCACACACTTATTTATTTATTTATATAATGCATATTTGTTATATATTTGTTACCTCGTCAATAAAATTTGTAACGTCATAAACTTTTCCACCGATTGAAACATATAAAGAATCTTTAGTTTTATGTTTTGCAAGTTCTTCAAGTGTGAATTCAGACATTTTTATTATTTAAAAAAAAGAAATAATTTTTAAAAAAATCGGTATTATTTTTTCTTCGTATGGTTTAACTAATTAAAAATTAATATTAATATACAAACAATATCATACAATAATCATGAGATCGGGAAAAAAAAATTTTCACATAATTAATTAATATCTTCGTGTTACATTTTCGATAACAACTAGAAAATTAACACCGGTAAAAAGAATATGCCAGAGCCTTACATGTAAGGGATCTCGTGAATAGATGAATCAAATGAGAAAGAGGTGAACCGTGTAAAGTATGCTGATCTTTTTATTGATATAATCTTGAAAACAACCTTGAAAAAAAAAAATATAATTCAGTTTATAAAAAAAGCAATCAGCCAAAAAATTTAGGCTATTATTTGAATTTATACTTTTGGATTTATCATGCCAATTATTTTTATATTGATTATATTGAAGAAAACAAATAAAAAATGCTTAAGCAGCAGCATGTTATATTTATTGGTGGCACGATTCGATGTAGAGGTGGTATTTGAACATTCGAAATATTATTACTATGACTATTCGAAATATTGTTATTTGAAATCAAAAGGTTTGTTTATCCTTTTTTATGTGGTGCGAATAACCATAATCATAAATAGAGCCATAAATATTAAATATTGAAATTATTCACGCGAATATATTGTATCATGTTTCTTTAATTTGAAATCTTTCTTGACGAATGACAACTACAATAATAATTGATGATGGTTATGATAATTCGGCCGATATTCCTTCTGATTTACGTGTAGTTCAAACTCTGGAAACCTGATAAAAAAAGAAAAATTGAAATAAATAGAGGTATATAGACTAAAGGATAGCTTCATTGGAGGATCTTGATGGATATATTAATATATCGATCAAATTTCGTCAATTAAATATTTATTATCTACAATATCTACAGTACATTTGTGATTATTTAAATAATTTTAATTATTCAGTACATTTATGGTTATTCGGAACGTTCAATTATCAAAGTCGTCTGATGTATTTCAGATATTCAGAAAAGGTGATTAATAACGGAAACACTATGGAGCGACTATGTTTCTAAATCATATGAAGTGGAACACTCCAATGTCTTATGAAACTCGTCGACTAGTAAATTAAAAAATAAATGATTGTATTACCGCTGTATACTAATACAGTTCACTCTCTCTATAACGGGCCATTTCCTTAAGAGATATACCTGGCAAACGTGTGTTGAAAAACTCTCTTTATTCAAACAATCGCTCTTGGTTTATTGTGGCTTAGAAAAAATGCTAATACTTTATTTATATACGTGACGTATAGGTATTAGGTTCTCAGCTGTTATTATTATAGTAATATTAATAGCAATATAGCAATATAGCAATATTCGTCCAGTTATCGGTATTATCCGTATATTAATATTAATATTGATATTAATATGCACAAAAAAAATGTTTTTAGACCATTTTTTTATTTTATTATTCAGCATTAAAGATTGCAGACAGAGGTTGGCACTGTTTAACCGTTTAACCCATCAGTCTTGGCGTTACAAAATTTTATTGTTGTTTGTCTAACTGGAATACATATAGAAATAAATACAAATACCAAAACATCAATCTTTACTTTTTCTTTTGGGCGAGACTTATTACTAGAGTTTCTATTCGTAATACAACTCAATTTAATCTTAATTCGAATTTATTCGTTATTATTATATATTTATTGTTCGTTTTGTTCGTTATTTATTTTATTCAAGTTATTTGTTTTATTCGTTTTATTTGAACACTCAAATTTGTTGTTATAAATATTATTATGGAATACGAAGGAAAAATAGGACTGATTTTTGATGGTGCATATATTAATTACCATGAATTTGCTAGTTAAAAAATTTCACTCGATTAAATTAACCGATTAATAAAGTAAGTTAACCAGTTAAAGAATTTTTGTGCGGTGCCAACATCTAATTAAAATAAAGAGATATTCCTAGTATGGATTAATAAATATTGTATTATTATTATTCAACGATTAATTGCCGATTATCCGATCGTTGAATATTTTCAACAATTGATTCAGTCGTCAATGAATCTCTACATTCGATTAATCGGACTTTATTCAGTGGGTACCGATAAAGAAATCATGCATGATCACGTTTTAAATTAATCGAAGGATCTCAAGAAAAAAAAAACTACCGTCAGACCTCCATAAGTGCACCCTCCATAAATGCACACCATACATAAATGCACGCTATGTCTCGGTCCCGACCTCGGGACTTAGTGATAAATGCACACCCTTCATACTCTGCACTGCACGGTATTTTTTCGGTCCGCTCATATGAAAACTCTCTCCATAAATGCACCTCACGTGACTGATGTATAAAATTCATCGTGTAACTAGGATAAATTTAGAAATCATCAACATAAATTTTTGATTTAATTGGATAATTTCCATATAACACAATCCGAATTTTGTAAAGAAATTTATAACAACAACAAATAAAGGTTCAAAATTTTTGTTATTTTACAATTTTTGTAATTTATAATAAATTATATATTTTTATTTATTGTTTTGTATTTTTACAACGAAATTATTTATCAATTATAGCTTTGTAATTATTCAACGGAAATATTTGTACATAAATTTAAATAAAATTAATCAATCCTTTATCAAATATTGTCTATGAGGTTCCAGAGGACAATAAAATTATTGAAGAACTCGCAGAAATATATCAAAATAATATGAATGTACCTCCTGATGATTTTGATGTAGACAATGATAGTGATGAACAACCAACAATAAGCCATAAGGAAGCATCAAAAAGTCTTGAAGCTGTACATGCATTTTTATTACAGCAAGAAAATGCTAGCAAACAAATAAAATTGGTTAATAAAATCGAAAGATATCTCAATGTAAAAAAAATAAATTCATCAAAACAAACTACAATGGATGGTTATTTTAATAATAATTTTTTTAAAAAAAATTGTGTAACACGTGCAACCAATGAAATTGCTTCTCTCTATAAATGCACACCATCCATAAATGCACGCTGTCCCTCAGTCCCAAGGGGGTTGCACTTATGGAGGTCTGACTGTACTCATTTCTTTAATGACAAAATCAAGATTGCAAAGTTGTTAAAAGTGATTATCAATGTAATTATTAGGAAGTATTGTGGAAGAAGTACATTTTAGAATACAATAAAGGTTTATGGGTTACAAGTGTATTGTAAGTAACTGTTAATTTAAATATTTAATTGTATAAGGAATTTTGTTAATTCTATTTATTTTTTACAGTTAATGAAATAATAATATATGAGATGGGCAATTCCATTTCATGGTTTATATATTTTTCATGAAATTATATGTACAAAAATACCAAATAATAGCATTGAAGTTGGTATGATGTCATGTTGTGTACCCATAATGTTAAAATTCAAGGTTTGACTTTTATTTTGTGCAAAAATTTATTTGTTTTTGTTTATTTTCTTTATGAGTTTTAAGCATATGCATTATTATAGGAATTAATAATGGAAAGGATGATTCACTTGAAAGAATACATTACAAGTGTTTGTACTGCAACTCCAACTGAAGATAAGAACATGCCATTGTTCATAACAAGAATTATCCCAAGAGAAAAATCCACCAAGAAAAAAAAAATTAAATAATTATGTTGTTTAATAGTAAATTGACAACTAAGCATTGTTGTTAAAATTTGTTGGATCCAATTTTTCATTGATGAACAATATTTTTATTCTGTAGTTATTTTAGATATGCATATTAATTCTTTTAAATAATATCGATAACAAATACATACACATGTATATGCAAAATTCAAATAACAAGTTGTAAGCTCAAAACTTTTTCTTTAAAAAAAAAAAGTCTTGGTTAGATCCATGCATAAAATAATGATTCTCCACAATATTTAACTGATAATTATGAAAAAATATATATATTGAAAATAAATGAAACAACGTTTATTTACCAAGCTCTTAAGATGTGTTAAAACATTGTATCTTAAAATAACTAAAGATGGGAATCACAATTAACCACAATTCAGTTTTCATATTGCCACAACTGTAATTGCAATTCAAAATTTACATGCCGCAATTAGTTGCAACTAGTTGAGAGCCATATTTAAAAATAACTCTAAGGTTGCTGTTGGCAACTTTTTCTAAAAAATTTCGAAAATTAAATTTGTCTTTTAAACA